AGAACGAGCGGGATGAGGGCAGCGGCCATCGCTGATGGCTCTGAGGGCATGATACATGGCGGGCATACGATGTGCAACAATTTTAGCAGGGGCTCTGCCGTACTCTGAAGCGGGGCCCTCTTGGGAGCAGCACTGGTCGAGATCGGTGGTGTCTGTAGTTGATGATGAGGCAATGGCCCCCAAAGGGGTTCACATGAATGGTGCGGGCGCTCGGGCCATCAACCGCGCAGGCAGAAGATGTTCAATCGGGCCCGAAGTCCCCACCACCATTTGCACCCCAACGAGAAGCACGATAGAGTGTAAGAGAAGGCCCCCTGTTTCAACCTGCTCCTGCTGCTTCTCCGAGGCCCATGGAACGCCCCAAACATATTCGTTGGTACGCAGCCAGGTGGGGAACTCCAACCACCATACGGCACACAAAGTTTCCCAAGGGCCCCACCCCCGGGGAGGGAACGGAGGGAGAGGTGGGGGGGGGAGGTAGTGGTGGTGGCGAACGGTGGCCTTGCAGCCAACGCGCATTGACATCACATCAAGCAAACTGAAAACCCGTTGGGAGGCAAGGACACATCAGGAAAATCAGAAATTGGAGTTTGAATTCAAGAGGGCCTGCTCATGGAGCCTCTTGTGTCGTCTCTCTCTCTCTCTCTGGCCGCCTCGCGTCTCGCCCGAAGGCGCGCGTTCTGCTCAGCCGTGCGGATCATTGGCGGAGGAGGAGCGGGAGGAGGAGGAGGGGGATGATGATGTTGATGTTGATGATGATGATGATGATGATGATGATGATGATGGTGGTGATGGGTATCATCATGGTGATGATGATGGTGATGCTGGTGATGATGATGATGATGGTGAGAATGGTGATGATGATGGTGGTGGTGATGGTGATGATGATGGTGATGATGATGATGAGAAGGAAGAGGAGGAGGAGAAGGCGGACGAGGAGGAGGAGGAGGAGGAGGAGGAGGAGGGGGAGGAGGAGGAGGAGGAGGGGGAAGCTCTGACCTCTTGCACGCGGGGGGAAGGGGGGGCTCCCGCGGCGGGCGCGCGCGGCCGCGCCGCGCCATCGGCCGCTCGCGAACCCGCGGGGTCGAGCTTCAGCGAAGCTCGCGAGCCCGCGGCCGCCTCGGGTGCGGCCACGAACAGGAGGCGCTCGCCTGCCTGGCAGAAGAGGGCGCGCAGACGCCGTGCTGGAGCGCAGGTGTTATTGCGTTTGGATTGTGTTCGGCAGCTGCTGCCTCTGCATCCATTGACACGGACGTCGCCGGGATACAAGCCTCCGGCTGGCAGAATGCGTGCAGGCTAGTGCCCTTCAGTAATTGCACGTTGCTCCTGTCGTTCGTCACGATCTTCGTTGCCACGCGTACTTGAGCAATTCAAGAACGAGTAGGCTCGGCCCCACGAAAGGGGTCGTAGAGAGCAGTCACGCAACAGTAGGCGGTATCGGCGTTTGTACACCTGGCAAACGTCGCCGTAGCAGCATTTGTCATCGCATCAGAGAATTCGCAGCAGCGGCGACAGCGGCATCCAGATCCTGAGGCCGCCGGTTTGGCATTCCAGAAACGCGCGCACCCAGACCCTGGAATGTCGCGACCATCGCGACCACGCGCCCACGCCCCGCCGTTGCGGGTGGTATCTTTGTTGGCGCTGCGACTGCATGCGGGCGCTGGCCAGAACATCGGTCGATCTCCACCATATGTCGGGGATGCTGTCTGCCAGCTGTCTGGCAGAGCGCGCCGAGCTCGGCTCGCTTCGGGAGCCCGACGGGACCCCAAGCCACCGGCGAACTCTCGCGGCATGCGCCGTGTGCGTGCCCTGGCTTTGGCCCGCGGCGGGCGCACGTGCGGTTGCCCAGCGGCTCCGCCTGCCAGCGGGCTGCTGGCCTATCGCAGGGGCTCGGCGCGCATGGGCCGCGCGGTCGACAGCGCCGAGCGCTGCGATCGCCGACGGTGTGCACGCCAACCGTGTACGTAGTCGACTTCGGCCGACAGCATGTTGGGCTCGACCCAAACGCGGTCGACCTCGGGGCTCGCACGGCCAACTTCGCGGTCGGAAAAGCGATCGGTTCAGGCGATCGCGGGTCCTGACGTGCGATGCGCGAGCGCACGGGGTCCACGGCTGGGGATGCAAGTTCTGGCTTGGTACATGACTCGACTGATCGGCCTCGGTGCTCGATCGCCCGAGGCTTCCGCATTGGAACTTGCAGCTTCCTGGCAGATCCTGCGCCGCGCCTCTGGCCTCAGAGGGCCAGGATCCCGACCTCGGGGAGAGCAGGTCCCAGCTGATCCGCCCCCCGATGCGGGTGGGCCCGCCAGAGGCCAGCCACCAGACCGCCCGCACCCGCGCGCGCGGGGGCGAGGGCGTGCGCGCGACGGTGTGCGGCCTCCTCCCCGCTTCTTCTCACTGCCGCCCCCTGTCAAGGGAGGAACAACCACCGGGACCGGACAACTGGCGTCTACCAAACGGCCATGGGCGTTGATTGAACGAACAGCCTTGCCCTGTTCGATTCCTTCTTTGGGCGCTTTTACGAAACGACTTCGCGTGTCGGGGTGGTTATTATGGGGGTGGATTCTTTGACCTCTACCCTGGGCATTCGACGGACGGATGCCCGGTCCCCGAGCCTCCGCGGGCGCTCGGCGACGCCATCCACGGGAGCACACGGCGACCCACGCCTCGGGGAGAAGGGCGCTTTCTGCAGGCTCGGGCCCTGGGATTGCCGTCCGCGGGGGTCGACGGCCACCCTTCGATGTTCGACGCTCGATGCTCGACGCTCAAGACAACGACGACGACGACGACGACGACGACGACGACGAAGACGGCGACGACGACGACGACGACGAAGACGGCGACGACGACGACGACGACGAAGACGACGACGACGACCACGACGACGACGACGACGACCACGACGACGACGACCACGACGACGACGACGACGACGACCACGACGACGACGACGACGAAGACGGCGACAACGACGACGACGACGACGACGACGACGACGACGATGACGACGACGACGATGACGACGACGACGACCACGACGACGACGACGACGACGACGACGACGACGACGACGACGACGACGACTGCAACTGCGCGCCGAAGGGCGCGGTGGGCGGCTTCTTGCCCTCTGCTGCCAGCTCGCCTCTTCTGGGCCGCTTCGCGTTCGCATCCCGCTCTGACCCTGGGCGCCGCGCCCGGCCGCAGGACCCAGGCCTGCGGCGCGAGCAGCACTTTCCACGCCGCCTGGGAGGCTCGCCCGCCAGGCGCGTGCGGGCGCCAGCGCCCCGTCGCTGACGGACAGCCACCCTGCGGCACCACTCGCCAGAGGGCGGCCAGCGATTTGGCACGGGACCTTCTCCCAGAGGGTGGCCAGCGATTTGGCGATTTGGCACCACTCGCCAGAGGGTGGCCAGCGATTTTCTCGAAGTCGGGACCTTTGCCGCGCCCGATCGCGCCGTCCAGGGCCAGCGCGGAGGCCTGTACCATGCGGGCACCGCTTTATTGACACCACCTGCCGTGGGACATCACCGCACAGGGACTGCGCTCAAGAGGCCGCCCAGAGGCTGACAAGCAGGCCCCACGCCGCGCGAGGCAAATCGCAGACCGCTTCATGCGGCTGGCTCGTCGGGTAACGTGGCGCGGCTCACTTAGGCTAGTGGTGAACAAGAAAAATGTGGCTTTCTTTTGCAGGACCTCCTGCAAGGTTAATACGCGAACTGCCTTCATGCACGGCGGCGCAGGGAACTTAGGCTTCAATAGACACCCAGGCAGGCGGTGCAGAATTGGTCTGAACGACCTTAGTAGTTTCTGCCCACATTCCGAGCGGATCGTTGCCTGAAGCGAGCACTAAAGCAAGCTGGCACATATTGGGAATTGTATTATGTCGCCTCAGCGTGCTCGTGGCTTACAAGATGCACTCCGCTACCTGCCTCGATCTTGGTTGGCAGCTCGTGCTGTGCAGCCCCAGGTCCAAGTCTAGTTAGATCACGTCGATGCGTACATCGGTGTTGCACTTGTGCTGGTGCTGCCTTTGCACTGATGCTCTCACCGTACATGGCGTTTCTGGGCACTCGTATTAAGCCGTCGTGCAGAGGCTGGTTACACGAGTGGAGACAAAGGAAGCGCGCACCGCGTTCCGCAGATGTCAGCAACCGATTGTGCTAGAGATACTTATGACGGCGATGGCGATGTCGAGGGCGAGGGCGATGGTGACAGCGGTGACGATGAAGAAGATGATGACAATGGCGATGATGATCACGGGAACATTGACACCGACGACGATTTGGTTGTATCAGCGGTGTCAGCCCATACTCCATCTGAATCGGTGGGGCAGGCTCTTGTTGGATTCGTTGCACCAGGCATAGGGTCTCGATTGTTCGCATCGGCAGGGGGAATGATCCAGGCACTGCAAGCGAGGAACCGCCTGGTTGTCGCTGCACTCGAGGGCCCCGAGGAAGCCACAGGTGAATTCGAGGAGGACTCTGGGATTCTTTGAAAGGCTCCATGATGGCATGATCAGGGTTCAAAGAGGTTTCGTCGAAGGGTCGGGACGTTTCGGATGAGGAGCTAAGACGGCCCCAGGAAGGTCTTAACAAACCTCGGGGAGGCCAGGGAGGCATTCAGAATCTTGGCCACGCCCGTGGGTAGCGAATGAAATTGTGGGAGTCTCCCCAGAATCGCCAAGAAGGCACAGGGGGTGCACCCAGAATCCTAGCAAGTTGCTCCAGGGGTGCTAATCGAGCCTCGAGCCGCCATCATACAGCTCGCCCAGTGATTCGTTTGGATAGTACGGACTACGGACTGGTCCCACACTCAAGCATCACAGTGTCGCTTGCCTGTGCTCAACATATGGAGCGCAGAACTCGTCTCACACCCACGTGGCTCCACGTAGCGGTGTGTTTCGATTTTCGCAGCGCCCTGCCCCAGAGTGGAGACAGGAACAGCTGAAATGATTAGGAAACACACATATAGGGACGGGACGGCAGCAGGAATACCTTTCGAAGTGGCCATAACAGGCAACGGAGACGCGGCCTGGCCCCTGCGGCCAACGGTGCGCATGGAGCCGCGGCGCCAGCGCTTGCAACGTTAGCCTGCCCGCTGGGGATGACCTGATGACGGCCTCTGGGCGGCCTGGCCGCCACTCGCGCCTGCTCGGGCTCCAGCTCGGGCAGTCGCTGGTCTCCAGCCTGTGCTTCTATGTCTACGTTCAGCAGGACGTGCGATCCGCGGCCTCGTCGCTGAAGCACTTCTACAAGATGCTCTTCGGCAAGGAGCTGTCCAACACGCTGGGCAACCGAGTGAAGAGCATTACCACGCCCCAGGGCCTGGTGAGCAGCCTTGAGCACCTGCACGCGAGCTACTTCAGGCTCCCAGAGCGGTCGCTCACGCAGTACGTGCTGTCGGAGCCATCGATCCTGGAGCTGGGCGTGGTCTGGCGCAACCGCTCCAAGTCGAGGCTGCTGCTCGGCGCGGGCGACCGCGTCGAGGCGCGGCTGCGCGGGCTGGCGGGGGACGCAGGGCTCGTGGAGGTGGAGTCGATCGTGGCCAAGATACCGGTCCTCGACCACATGGGCGGCCACGCGCGTGCTCACTGGCCCAGCTGCTACAGCTGGGACCTGCGGCCCACGTACGAGGATCGAAGCGGAAAGGGCGCATTTAAGCTCAGGCGTTCGGAGCGCCCCGCGGATGCCTCGGATCGGCGCTGGCACCCCCTGGCGCCGCCGCGCCGCTCGCCAGGGAGCGCGCAGCGCCGACGCGGGAGATCCGCGCGGACGCCCGGGAAGCTGTGCCCGTGCCCCTCCTCCGTCCGCGCCCCTCGCAGGATCGGCTCCTCGTCCTCCGTCCTCCGTCCTCCGTCCTCCTCCTCCTCCTCCTCCTCCTCCTCCTCCTCCTCCTCCTCCTCCTCCTCATCATCATCATCATCATCATCATCATCATCATCATCATCATCATCATCATCATCATCATCGGCGGCGAGCCCGGGGGGGGGGGAAAGTCAGAAGGGGCGGGCCTTCTCAGAGGGCTCGGAAGTCCCCCAGCCTTCTGCGAAGCTTCCCGAGCCCCCCCTAAGACACAGGAGACCTCTCAGATGGCGCGAAAGGACCTCTGAGGATTCCCGCCGCCTTTTGCGAGAAGGCCTTTTCTCCTCCTCGCCCCCCCCCCCTTGCCGCCCAGAGGAGGCGGGAGCTGGCGAGCTCCGGCTCCTCCTGCGGTGGTCCATCCGCGACTGCCTGGCCCTCGAGGCGGCCCGCACGGCGGCGGCCCTGCCGCCGGCGCGGCGGTGGTGGCTGGGCGGCGCGGCGCCGCTGGGAGGCTTCGGGCCGCCAGCGTGGATGCGGGCACTGCTCCTCACGCAGGCCACCCTGGGGGCCTCCGCCCTGCTGGCGGGCAGGCCAGGGCGGCACTGGCGGCGGCCCCGCGGCGCGGCGCTCTGGCCGCAGCAGGGCCAGGGCGGCCGAGGCCGTGCGCGTGCCCTCTCCGGCCTCTGCTGCCTCTCCTCGTCCGCCGTGCCCTTGCTCGGCCCAGGTTTGGGCTCGGGGGCGACTCTCCCCGAGAGGGGGGGCAGGAAGAGCTCGGTCGTCTTCACCCCACGGATCTCGGGCAGGGTTGGCTCTCTGGTCCTTCCCTGCTTCGCACAGAGGCTCGTTGCGCGAGATTCGACCCCGAACCAGACCGCCAGGTAGTTTTTTTCATGTCGCCGCAGCGATCGCGGTGGTCGGGACAAGGTTTTTGTCATCAGTGGCATGCCCTTTCCCAGCCTCCCCCCTCGCTCTGCGACGCAGCAGGGGTGCACCACATAGCGACAGAGGGCTGCCAAGTTGTGCCCCACATGGGCGGTCCTTTCTTTCTGGTGAGGGGCCGAGTACCACGCAACCAGAGGCGTCCAGCTGCTGATCGCGGCCACCAGCGCCGCGCAGGTGGCCGCGGCCGCGCGCTGCGCGGTGCCGGTCGAGGGCGCCAGCGTGCAGGTGCGCTTGCTGCTCCTCGGCTCGGCGTGCAGCCTCTCGCACCTGTGCCTGGTGCCCTCCCTGACATCCTTCGACCGGTTTCACATGCTCCAGCAGACGCTCTCCAAGGGCCTCCCGAGGATACTCCGGTTCTTCACCGAGGTGCAGGGGAGGAAGAGTCAGCGATGCCGCTGCGCGGCCCTCGTCGCCACGGTCGGCTCAGTGAGCTCACTGCCGCCAGCCCGGTATGAGCATGCCCTAGCAGGGCCCTCCGAGGATGATCTTGTCTAGGCATCCCAGATGGGGTCGGAGTAGATGGGGTCGGAGGATCGCGCCGCATCGGCGATGCATCGGCGATGCGGCGCGATGTGGGGCCCAATGTTCTCCACGCCGACGTTGCCGATGCATCGCCGACGTCGCCAGTGCATGGCCGATGCATGGCCGATGTATCGGGGATGCATCGCCGATGTATCGGCGATGCGGCGAGATTCTCCGACCCCATCTACTCGGACCCTGTCTAGGAGGCCTCTATCTTGGGCTGGCTTGATTCTTTCCAACCGAAAAACAAAAACTGCATAAGCATAATTTCTCGACGGCCCGCGCGGATTTCTTGGATCTGCGCTGGCCCCCGTTGCGGCGCCTCCAGCGCCGCCCCTGGCGCGCTCCGCGCACTGGTCAGCCACGCGCCGAGGGGGGTGGGGGGAGGGGGGAGGGCTTCTTAGAAGCACCCCTGGTTCTTAGAAGGCGCGGGCCTTATCTATAGATGTCAGGCCGGCACCTTCTACGAAGCAGCCTCCTTCTAACAAGCCCCCCTCCCATCCCTCCACCCCCCTGTGCGCGCCGCCAAACTGGGGAGTGGAGTCCAGCGCAGATCCAAGAAACCCGCGCTGTCTGTCAAAGATTAAGTTTAGGCCGCTTGTCTTCCTTCTTATAAAAAGCCGCCGCTCTAAACACGCTTGGGCATATTAAAAAAGAAAAAGCCAAGACCACCGTGCGCAAAAACGACCACTCTTAAGTCATTTAGGCATGCTCAAAAGAATTCGGATCTAGGATGCTAACGTACGCTTCGGACGCACGCCCGACGACCCCACACGCCCGCCTTACGCACGCAGGCCTAACTTGGCCTCCCCGAGTCTTGAAAGAATCGAAGGGAACTCAAAGATACTCCGGTCCTTCACCGAGGTGCAGGGAAGAAAGAAGTACAGTCGAGCATCTGGTTAAGAAACCTCCAAAGCTGGGCCAGCGTTTCTTAAGTAAATGGCTGGAAAGCTGGCCCAGTTTCTTGAGCACGTTCGCAACTCCAGCGATAACAACAGAGACTGGCCCAGGTTTTGTTTAGGACACCTTCGAGTGGCTTGCCCAGGTTTCTTAAACGATATAATCCTTAATGATCTCTTCGGCTGTAGCGACACCGCTACGCGCCCCTCGTCGCCACGATCGGGTTCGCCTCGGCATCCTGGTCAGAACGCACCCCGGGAGAGGTCCTGGGAGTAGCGGTGCAGTCGGACCGCGGAAGAAGGAACCCCTTTCGTTGGGAAGGGGTTCGTTGTCCTTAATTGTCTCAGGTGCTCCTTATGTTTTCTATAAAAATCGAAGTCTGACTTGTGGAAAAACGAGGCCTCGTTCCTTATCTAGGGTTCCTCATGACCGCATTTCGACTGTATCGATACCGCTTCTGCTTCCCAGAGGTGGTCCCAGTGTACCTCGCATACACGGTGCTCGGCGTCGCGCTCTGGGGGATCAGCGACCAGGACGGCTTCCAGTCGCTCTCGCACTCGTCGGTGACGCTGTTCTCGCTGATGAACGGCGACGTCATCAAAGACACATTCCTCAACCTGGGGGACGTCCACTGGATGATGGCTCAGCTCTACCTGTACACATTCATCGGCCTGTTCATATACGTGATCCTCAACGCCGTGCTGGCCATCATGGAGGAGTCGTTCTCCCACACGGAAGAGAGCAGGAAGATGTCCGCCTGCGCTGCTGGCGCCGAGGATCGAAGAGCAAAGATCGGCTCAAGCATGACCTGAAGTCGGGCCTGTCCCTCTACAGGGGGAATCTGCAGAAAAAGTCCCCCCCCCTAAAAAAAAGTCTAGGGACTATTGTTTGATTATTTATGACCATCTTGGCGCATTCTTCGAGCATGCTTTATTTTTCGTCGAAAATCCCCCTGTAGGGGGACACGCCCGACTTGAGCATAACCCCTCTGGAGGTCCGCCGAGGACTTCCTGGCTCGGCGCCGGCCCCCCTCCCCCTCTGCGCGCGGAGAGCGCCGGGGGCGGCCCCGAGGCGCCGCCACGGGGGGCCAGCTCGGCGGTGCAGAGGCAGGGACCGCATCGGCGGCGAGCCTGCCAGCGGAAGGAGCACAAGGCGGCGGCGAGGGAGGATTTGGGGATATTAGGGATTTAGGTATTTAGGGCTTTAGGGATTTAGGGCTTTAGGGCTTTAGGGTTTTAGGGATTTAGGGATTTAGGATTCTAGGGATTTTAGGGATTTTAGGGATGATGGGGGAAGCGAGAAGGAGCAGGCCTTCGCAGAAGGCGGCGGGGCTCCTCAGAGAAGCCCTTTGCGCCTTCGGATGAATTTTTGTCTGTCTTCGGGGGAGGCTCCAGAAACTTCGCAGGAGGCCGGGGGGGCTTCCGAAACTTCTGAGGAGGCCTTCTCATTCTCACTTCCCCCCCTCGCTCGCCGCATACCTGAGGAATGGGAGGGGTCTCAAACAATGCAAGTGCGACCTGGCAAATGGGACTCCTGCCTACGGTCGGACCGAAGAATAAGATGGAGGTCGGCTCGGAGAGGGTACCCTCGTGTTCTTCGCGTCTGTTGGACGTTCTTGTGCAGCCAGGGGAGGGTGCCCTTGGATGCTCTGTGTGTGTTTTGGCCTGCGGAGGATCTCGTGTTCTTGAAGGATGGTCGTCTGCCATAGGTCCGACTGTACCCTGCTGGCCCCATCTCTCGGGGCCCCCTCTTCGAACCCCCGACCCAGCGCCGGACCAAGGAAAGCCGCGCGGACCTCCGAGGGCGGGTTCTTGCGCCGCTCTTGCTCGGAGGAGAAGGCAGGCGCGCCAGGTGCCCCCAGCAGCAGCGGCAGCATCTCGCTCTTGGAGCCCGCACTGCCCTGCGCCGCTGCGGTGGCCTCGCCGCGCGCGCCGCAGGGCGCGGGCACCAGGCATCGCGGCCCACGATCCGAGCCGATGTGTGGTTTGATTCGCCGGCCAGGGCCGCGGTGCCCATTCGGCTTCGGTTCCTCGGCCAGGCTGGCTGGAGCGGGGCGCGGCGGTGCGGCCTCGGTTCGAGTCGAGGCGAGTCGCTGTCGCTTCGATCTGGGCGCGATCTTCGACTCGCGGGCTGCGCGACTCGATCTGGGGGCCCCACCTGCCAGGGAGAGGCTCGAGCGGCTGCAGGCGCTGCGCGCCGAGATCGCCGAGCGCGAGCGGGAGTGCTCCGCCATCTGCCGGCAGCTCCTCGCCTCGCAGCCGCCCGAGGGCGTCTGAGCGGCCCCGCTCGGCCCTGGCGCATGAAGGAAGCGGGGTTCCTGGCGCTCGCGCGTCGAGAGTCGAGAGGCTCTAGGCTCCCGGGCCTCCTCGGTATCTTGGCATCGCTTCGGGCGTGTGCAGTGTTTCCTCGGCGAGGACCATCGAGGAGCATCAGGGATCCTCTGGCGGCAAGCATGCACGCACGAGGAGACTGGACAGAGGCGCGGGGAATTGGACGTCCGAGCGATAGCGAGCGGTGTGCTTCTTGGCCGCGGCCGGGCGCGGCTCGAAGAAGCAGGCCAGGACGGACCCCGACCCGAGAGGGGCCTGGGGACTGGTTTTGGCTGGAAGCCCAGGTGAGTGACGCAAAAAAAACCTTTTTGTTTTAATTATATGTGTATATACATAACAAAATAATAAAGAAACAGCAACAGCAACAGCAGCAGCAACAACAACAACCACAACAGCAACAACAAGAACAAAAACAACAGCAACAACAACAGCAACAACAACAACAGCAACAGCAACAACCGCAGCAACAGCAACAGCAACAGCAACAACAATAGCAACAGTAACACCAACAGCAACAACAACAACAACCACAACAGCAGCAGTAGCAACCACAACAGCAACAAGAACAGCAACAGCAGCAACAACAACCGCAGCAACAACAACAACAACAGTAACAGCAACAGCAAGAGCAACAGCAACAACAACAACAACAACAATTACTAGCACGTGGGGACACTCCGTTCTCACCAGTGCCAGGGTTTTCATACGACGCCCGCCAATACCCCCACTTTGTGGGGGGGCCGGTTCAAGCTCTACCACATTTCCAAACGACTCTTCGCCACCACCCACACCCAGCTTCCCGCCCTATGACGTTCGGACACTTCACTTCGTGGCCTGCGGACGACCGTGGCTACTACACTGGCGCATGGGTACAGTGACTTGTTGTGGTAACATTTTCTGGACGCTAGCTTAGTATACGACTTTTCCCCCTGTTCCAACACTGGACACCTGTACTGGTTTTTGGTACGCCGTTGAAAGAGCTTGCGAAAGTAGCTCGCGCGAGCTCATGTAACATAAATGTTGAAAAAACCATTGGTTTTTTAGGATTCGGACAGCGCGCGCGGGTAGAAATTTTGAAAATTCGTACAGATGTTTTTCGAGGACCTACGGTGCGATTCGTATGATTTTATGTTGCGCGGTGCTAAAATTCCTAAGAAACCCAATGGTTTTTGAAGATTTCGGCGTGCGCGCGCGAAGAAAAAACGAATGTGTCCCGCATGGTATTATTTGACAGGGATGATGGCCCTGGCAGGTGCGCAACCGTTGTTGGCAGAAGTTCGAAAAAGTTGCTCGCAAAAGCCCGTTTGACAGAAATGTTTAAAAAGTGTTGGGTTTCCTACGAATCCGCAAGAGCGCGCGGGATGAAATTTTGACATTTTTTTGTTGAAAAACCATTGGTTTTTTGATGTTTTTATGTTAAAATCGCTACGAACACTAAGGTTTTGGAAGGATTTCGTCTTGCGCGCGCGAATGTCCACTTTACCTTATTTTTTGCAAGGGATTCTTGAAGTTTGGTTATGTTAGAACAAGAAATGTCATTTTATATTGTTTTTTGCAAGGGAAAGCGGGTAACAAAACAACCGGATCCGGACCAACCCGTTTTGCCGGAGACTTCCTCACGAAAATGATGAAAACATGGCTGCGGCCTAGGCGCGGCGAGGGGGCCGTGCACCAGGGGCCCCAACAATAATTATTCTTTAGAAGTAATAATGTTCAATTACAACAACAACAACAACAACAACAACAACAACAACAACAACAACAACAACAGCAACAGCAACAGCAACAGCAACAACAACCACAGCAACAGCAACAGCAACAGCAGCAGCAGCAACAACAGCAACAACAAAGACGGCGTCGTCTGCGCCGACATTGGCGCGCAAGCTGCCCGCGCAAGGCCGCGCGTCAGAGCGCCCTCGCCTCGCGGTGCGGTGTGCCCCGCGCTGGTGGCCCGCGTGCGCCGCGGCGCAGGGTCGCCACGCGCCACCTCGCGCAAGGCCCCCCTCTGACCGTCGCTCAAGCCTCCTCCTCCTCCTCCTCCTCCTCCTCCTCCTCCTCGTCCTCGTCCTCCTCCTCCTCCTCCTCCTCCTCGTCCTCGTCCTCCTCCTCCTCCTCCTCCTCCTCCTCCGCCTCCTCCTCCTCCGCCTCCGCCTCCTCCTCCGCCTCCTCCTCCTCCTCCTCCTCCTCCTCCTCCTCCTCCTCCTCCTCCCCCTCCTCCTCCTCCTCCTTTCCCCGGGACCTCCCCCTCCTCCGCCTCCTCATTTCCCCGGGACCGGTTTTCCATCCTGAGTCGTTTTGTTTGAAGGTCCCGGGGCCCGGCGGGGGCCTCCAGAGGCCGAAGACGGCGAAAAACCGCCGTCTTGATGTTTTCAATACGCTGGATCTCTGGGTCCGACGATAGGTCTGCTTCAAGCCCGGGCGGTGGTCCTTCCTTTCGGCCTCTGGGGCCCGTCGGCAGGCCCTCGGGCGTCGACAGGGGGCAACGACAGGGAGCACCGGCCCGGGGGGGAGAAGGAGGCGTCGGCCACCAATGCCCATATTCGTCGGCAATCGGGGCCCAGGCCCCCCACCCGCCTCAGGAGCGCGCGGCGTTTCGCTCTCGGAGGCTGGCGCCCATCTGCGGGCGCTGCACCGCCGATTCCGGGTCAATGCTTCCCCCTCTTTGGCCTGCCCCCCCCCTCCCCAGGAAGCGGGCGCTGGCGGAAAGGATTCCTGGAAGCTTCTCGCTTCCGCCTCCTCCTCCTCCTCCTCCTCCTCCTCCTCCGCCTCCTCCTCCTCCTCCTCCTCCTCCTCCTCCTCCTCCTCCGCCTCCTCCGCCTCCTCCTCCTCCTCCTCCTCCTCCTCCGCCTCCTCCGCCTCCGCCTGCTGGCCTCCTGGCCTCTGCGTCCGAGGCACCGTCAGGGCACGGCCTCGGGATGCAGAGCTGCTGCCGGGGCGAGCCCCCCCCCCCCGGGGGTCTGGGGCCCGTCTCCCCCGCGGGACCCGCCCCTCACCATTTCGATTGCTTTCCTACTCATTGTTCTGCCGATCGGCGCGGGCCCTCGCACCCCTCCCCTTCCCCCCCCCCTGGAGTAGATCTTGGCCGTGTTTGGCGCCTGCTTCGAGCAGGTGGCGTCTCCCCCGTAGGGCGCGCTGCTGGAAACGGCAGCATCACGCAGAGGTCCGGAACCAGATCCCCCCCCCCTCTCTCCCCCCCGTCCGCCCAGTGTTGAAACGCCGAGTAACAAAACGTTGTCATGTTTGGCATCATCTTACCTCGATGCCGATCTTGAGGACTCCCTCGGTTTCTGAGGGCACATCCCCGAGATTGTCGCCGCTTTGGCTTGCCCATCTCAGGGATTGGGACAAGTTCGAGTCCAGCTTCCTTCGTGGCGACAGCCGCCCGCGCCACCGGTGCACCCAGCCCAGCGTCGCGGCTCAATCGCGCGCGCGTGGGCTATTAACCAGAGTCCCAGGGCCCCCGCCCTGCTGGCATCGAGGTTCGAGCATCGAGGCTTTGGGGTGTTGGGGAGGCCCCTGTCGGGCCCCTCCGGCGGGAGGCCCTCCAGGTGGTCTCCGGGGGACACCCGCAGATCTCTGGATCGAAGAAGGAAAAAAAAACATAAACATGAACTTTTGGCGCTCCGCGTGGATTTCTTGGATCCGCGTCTGGGCCCCCCCAGCGGCGCCTCCAGCGCCGCCCCTGGCGCGCTCCGCGCGCCAGGGAGGGGGGCCCAGGCGCGAATCCAAGAACTCCGCGCGGAGCGCCAGAAGTGTATGCTTAAGTCGGGCCTGTCCCCCTACAGGGGGATTTTCGAGGAAACATAAAAGATACAACAACAAAAAATAATAATAAAATAAAATAAAATAAAATAGTCTGGGGACTATTCTTATTTGTTTTACCTTTTTGGAGCATTTTGGGGGGTATTCTTCATTTCTCGTCGAAAATCCCCCTTGTAGGGGGACACGCCCGCCAGAAGTGCATGCTCACGTGAGCTGTTCCCCTGCTGCTGGAGACCGCTGGGAGGCCAGCGGGTCGAAGTCCCACCAGGAGCCGAGAGCCCATCCGCGGCCACCCCGCGGCCATCCCCGGGCAGGCCCGGGGCGAAGGGCGAAGAGACGCGTCGCTCTAGCTCCTCGGGGCGTTCCCGGGGCGCTCTCCGAGCCCGCCGCGGCGCCCAGCGCGGCCGCCAGACCCGCCGGTTCTCAGAGCCCCAAGCCTCCTCCTCCTCCTCCTCCTCCTCCTCCTCCTTCCTCCTCCTCCTCCTCCTCCTCCTCCTCCTCCTCCTCCTCCTCCGCCTCCTCCTCCTTTCCTCCTCCTCCTCCTCCTCCGCCTCCTCCTCCGCCTCCTCCTCCTCCTCGTCTTCCTCCTCCTCCTCCTCCTCCTCCTTCATCCGGATCTACCTTCATCCGAACCGACATTGTCTCCGTGCTGCCTGCGTCTTTCACTACAGGAAGACTCCCCCGAGTGCAAACCGCCATGGAAGGCCCCTGCCTCGTCCAGCTGCCCGCCTCGGCCGGAGAGGCAGCAGGAAGAGAAGCAGAAGAAGAGAGTCGGCGACGCGTAAGAGTGGCCCTTCGCCTGAGCGATCCCTGGTGCGGATCAGTTCTTCGTTTTCGTCGCTTCCTGACGGTTGTCATGCTTTGGCATGTGTTCTTCAGCAGCTGATCCACAAACAGTGCTCGCATCTGGGGGCTCTCATTTGAGCGACGCAATTAAAAACGGGGTCGTTTGCGCCGACATTGGCGCGTAAATTGCCCGCGCAATGTCGCACGTATGCGCCCTCGCTTCCAATGTGGCGTGCCGCGCTGGCGGCCCGCGTCAGCCACCGCGTGAGGTCGCGACGTCATCTCGCGCAAGACCCGTTTTGGATCGTCACCCACTTGTTCTTCAGGAACTGGGCTCGTGTGCCGCCCCGGCTGGCTTGTCGCCGCCCCGTCGCCGCCCCGTCGCCGCTCGTCGCCGCCCGTCGCCTCATCCCCCTGTTGCATCCCCCTCCGGTCGCATTGCAATCGCATTGCGTTACAATCGCGTCATATTGCAATCGCCTTGCTGTGCGCTGCACTGCACTGTACTAGACTTATATTCTCGCTACCCGCTAGGTTCTGTAGGTCTGCGACTTCCAAGAACATCCTCCGAAAATCCTCTCCGCCCACCTTGTCACATGCCCCCAAACAATCATCAAAACAAGGTCGTGCGTTTTGAAAAATTACTCCTGGTTGCAACGTTCCTTCATTAAGAAGCTCCCCTCTCCTGTCCTGGTCCTGCATTCGGAAACCCCGCTCCATTCACCCCCCCGCCTTTCGTTCACGCGTTCTGAGGCCAGGACTCCAGTGTTGGGGCGGGGATTTTCGCGCCCACAGCGAGGGAGAGACTGTAGAGAGCGAGGGAGAGAGAGAGCGAGGGAGACTGTAGAATTGCCCGAACTGTAGAGAGCGAGGGATAGAGAGAGCAGAAAACAAGTTTCGGCAGCAGAGGCGAGTAGCTTGCCCTTGGTATCCTCCTCACCCTCCTCCGCCGCCGTTTTGAATCAAACGTGCTCTCGGCACGCATTTTGCGTCGCCAAGTTTCTTCACAGACGACGGAGTTCGTCTCGACGGTCTGCCACGCCTCGACCATCCACTGAGAGATGGATGGCGGCGCCAGGGCCGCCCGCGGCGGGCATCGCAGGCGCCGCCGTCGGCCTGCAGCGCAGGCGAGGCGACGTGAGAGTCGCGCAGGAGGCAGCGAGGGAGGCAAAGCGGCGGCGGCGAGAGGCACGAGAGGCAGAGGCGCAGCGTGCTCGTGGAGTGTCCGTGCCGCCCGTCGTCGCTGGAGACATGTGCAGCCGCCCCGTGCCGTTCACCAGCCACCCGCTGCTAGCGCACATCGGCGGTCTCAGTTCTGATCCTGAGGTGCAGCGATTTCGAGATGCCTTGCCTGGGCCGTCAGATGTTGCGACTGTGTTGTACGACCCTGTTTCTCGGCCGCTGGCCTTCGCCACGGCATCTTTGCAGTGCGAGAGAACTGGAGTATCGTTGGAGACCTTCCACAAGCATTCTGCGTATTTGAATTGCATGGTCTGGCTCCACGACCGTCTTTACCGTAAGATGTTGGTTGAATCGTGTTGTCGGTCATCAGTCGCCAAGGCGCTCCACGTGATCGATTATGTAGCTTATGACGAGACGCCCCTCCGCTTGCGCCAAGTTGATCGGCCTGGGGGTCTCGTCGCCCCTCCCAGCACTGCGGAGTTCGCCTTGCCTGACTCCTTCCTGAAGCTGCTTCCGTCTTCGCAGACATCGGTGCCAACGAAGATTATGCAAACGCAGCGTCATTGGGGCATCTTGATCAGCAAGGAGGTTCGTGGTGTCACCAAATATCTCATGCTCTACGGGCGAACGTTGTGCCATCTCCAGGCGATGTTGCGTTATACGCCAGGCACGGTGCTGCGGTGTTTGGAAGAATCAGATTCGATGGGTTTAGCAGATCTTCTCTTTGAGTCCGGAACCCGACTGGTTTCAATCGATCGTCATTTCTCGAACCTGGCCGCGGAGAGGCGCATGCGGACACGGCTTTTCAGCAGAGCGCCATCGATGAGGTCACTTCTCGTACCGTGTCGGCAGCACATGCTTCAAGGCATGAGGATCAAATCAACGTTTCTGTTCGAGGATTGCATTTCGTTCATGGTAAATTTGACGTTGTCGCTCATGTCCCCTGGGTGTTTGAAAGTATTTCGGTCCTGCTTGGAACTGTACTTGAGGAAGAAGATTGTGGTCAGGGAGGGTTTCAATTTGCGCGACGTCGAGGCTCGTCGGCATCTTATCTTGAAATGGTTTATCCCGTCAAGCGGGTGCGAATGGACTGTCAGGGTTATTTTAGAAGCACTCGCCACGTGCGACTGGGATGTAAGGCCCTCGGCGGACGAGATCGTGATCTTCATACCGCCTGGCGTCGAATGCGACAAGGAGGTGCTGAAAGAGAAGGCCATTGCTGGGATCTGTCATGCTTTCGCAAACCGTCCTCCGAAGATGTTCATGAGGAGCAAATGGATGGGGGCGGAGGAAGCTACTTGTGCAGTCGCGTTGATGGTTCTGTTCGGTGATTGTTTGATCCCTGTATACGAGAACTTTTGTGCAGTAATGAATGGTAGACCGTCGTCGGATAATGCCCCAATTGGTGCTGGCGTGATCCCAGGTGGTGACGACGGCGGTGGCTGTGCACTCGTTGCTTTCAATGCCGATCGAGCTGCTGCTGGAGGCGACGGTCAGTCTTCTGGAAGTGCCTATCTTTGGGCAAAAGAAAATGCAGCCCGTAGAACACGAGTGTTGGATTATCTGCACCGCAAGGGCGCATCGCCCTGCAGCCAGCTAGTATGCTTGCGGATGATTCTGTCAGTGGTGCAGGGGATGCAGCGTCAGGAGTTGTACATTGGCTCTGCGCGGTGGAACCAGCGCGAAGATGCTCGGGCAGCTCGCGAAGCGGTTCGGCAAGACCCTGATCGAGACCGAGACAGACGTTTTCTTCAACGTGATTTCTCGGTGTTAGTGCACGCCCGAATGGAAATCGAGAGTAGAGCTTTTCGACAGTTGCGTATCTTGTTCTTCAACAGGGGTGTATGGATTCTCTTGAGGGAGGCTGATTTGGCGAATAATTTGAAAACGCAATGCTTCAAGAGCATGTCTCGCCTGGGCGCGCTCACCGAGAAGCTCATGGCATCCGCTCATGCTGCGCCTCCTTTCAGCCTCTTCTTGTCCATTGACCAGCCGACCTTGGCAAAAGCCTTAAAGGAGAGGCCCGCTTGCCTCCTGGACCGCTGGAGTTATCATTTCATGCAAGAGAATGATCTAGAGGCCGAGTCTAGTCGAATGAAGTTGGCTCTGCACCTCGTACTCCTCACGATGAACACTGACCATCTCGAGGTGAAGCAATCCCACATCAGGCGGTTTACCACCAAGCGGGTGCAGTGCCGACAGGAGGACACCATGGGCCTCAGCGGGAAGTGGCTCGCGAACCAGGTGAGACTGGACCCCTGTGGCCTCAGCGGGCCCGCCAGCTCGCAGCCTCGGCGCGCCGATCGGGGGCGAGGCCCATCGCGTGGCGCCGCCGAGGAGCAGGGCCAGGATGCCCCTGGGCCTGGTGGAGGCGCCTGGCGAGCATTCGTGAGGCGCATGGGGATGACCGACTTGTCGCGCGTCGGGGAGCTGCACCGCGCGGCGAAGGCCGCGGTCGGCGACGAGGTGATGGCCCAGTGCATCGAGGAGGGCAGGCGAGCTACACTGCTGCGGCGGCGGCGCGGCACCACTGCCAACTCCTTCGGCCCGACCAGGCGGGATTTGCAGCGCGCCGCGCTGAAGCACACGCTGGCCGTTAGAGTTGGCTCCGACCAGCCCGACCCAAGCAGCGGGAAGGACGTGCTGGACAAGTTCGCCCAGGACGCGAGGACGCATTGGAAGCCAGCAGATGAGGCTGTGTCCGAGGTCCGAGCACTGAAGAGCCAATGGGACCGCACGTTGGCGGCGGCTCGGAAAGCTGACGACGACGCGATACAGAAGTTCACAGCTGCGAAGTCAGATCAGTGGAGAGATGAATTCGTATCAGCAGTGCCCCAGATGTGCGGTTCGCC